AATAACCACACTCTACTGACTCTCGGAGCACATAATAGAAGAACAGCACGATTTTTAATTAATTAAGAAATCATGTTAAACACCATTTTTCTGAATATTCGAGATGAATTACATCTGGCAACCACATGGTTAAAGTGGATTTTTTCACTCATTTAATATTCATTTATCACACACTGGCTGTACACCAGGCTCTATGCTAAGTCATGAAAAGGACACAAGGATGTGGCCAATATGAGGTACCACTTATCGTGCTCTCAGTAAACAGGCACTGTGGTGGGTGCTGTGCAGGGCTACAAAGATGACCATGATGACTGATGACGATGACAGCCATGAGAGTTACTGTTATTATTATTATTATTATTATTACTATTTTTGCGGTACGCGGGCCTCTCACTGCTGTGGCCTCTCCCGTTGCGGAGCACAGGCTCCGGATGCGCAGGCTCAGTGGCCATGGCTCACGGGCCCAGCCGCTCCGCGGCATGTGGGATCTTCCCGGACCGGGGCACGAACCCGTGTCCCCTGCATCGGCAGGCGGACTCTCAACCACTGTGCCACCAGGGAAGCCCAAGTTACTGTTATTTAAACGCTTAATTGCCACACCTTGTGCTGAGTATCATTATATTTCAATTTTGCTACACCTTGTGAGACAAGTATTTCATACTTTGTGCCCATTTTACAGCTGAGGCCCAGGGACATGTCAGGAGCCACACAGTCTGTCAAAGAGCTCACCATGCAGGCAGCTCTGACGACACTCTGTCTACAAGGCAGGAGAGTTAGACTCTGGCGTTCCTCTCCATCACCTTCTGACCACAGCCAGGCAGTTCCATCTCTGTTCCAACTCAATTCTGAAAGTTGACATTTCGGCCTTCAGGAGATCTTTGGTGTTGTCAATCCAACACTCTTTGAATACAGATATAGTGAGAGGAGGCCCATAAACCAAAAGAAAAAAAGACTTTTCCAAGCATTTTTGTAAGAAACATGAATCATTAGCATTCCAAAGAAGCTTGCAGCAAGCATAGATGTGCTTGATACTCACTGAGTTCAACACACAGTGCCAATGAGACCAGAAACTCATTACGTGCTCAGTAGGGAGCTTAAAACCGAAGCAAGGACCTCTTCCTACCCTGGCTTTGTAATTAGAACCTCCTATGGGAACATTTTCAGTAAGAATAAAACTTTGAGCTTGGAATTATCAAAGTTAACTTTGAAATGAAATTTTACTATCAAATAGCGGGATAAAATTTTAAACAAATATACTAGAACTTATACAACTCATTGAATGTCTTTACCTTTCCGGATGAGTTATTCTTGTGTTCAACAAATAGTGTTATCACTTAAAAGTATATCAGTAGCACTATTTTTAGAGTTTTTTTCTGGTTTAATCTAGGAAACACACACAAAAAGCAACCGTGTGTGTGTGTGTGTGTGTGTGTCTGTGTGTGTGTGTGTGTGTGTGTGTGTGTGTGTAGGGAGTGTTACTATGTAGTCCATATTTCTGGTTCAATTCAATCACTTACCCTACTGAGTATGTTTGCTTCCAAATGATTTTATGCTCTTTCTAAAAATAAACTTCATCTGCCACAGACTTTGTAACCACCAAGGAGAGCCAAAATAATATGCCACAGGCTCTACAGTCCTCCAAAATGACTTGAGGAATAACTTCATCAGAATACTCAAGGTGAGAGCTTTGAGAATAAACATACTCATTTGCATGGTTTTTCTTAGGTACTTTTATCCCACTACTTTCAAAACGATTTGAAACATTTGTTGATAATTTAAATTGTCACATTAGTTTATCCTAGCATTTCACTGACTAAATTTCTGGAAAATGCTTGTTTTTGTTTGAATGAGAAGGAAAAAGATGCAGGTTGTGAAAAGGACATACTGGGAGAAAAAAGATCATTAAAAATAATTCATTTAAATATGAATTGAATACACTAAATGTATAAAAAGACATGACAAACTAATAGGATAAGGGGAAATTATTTTAAATCCTTACCTTACATTAAAGAGCAAAACAAAATAGAGACAAGTGAAGGAGTAAATAGACTATAATTACAATGACAAGTGTTGGAGAAATGGGAACATTGCTGATGAGATGTAAAATGGTGCAGCCACTTTGGAAAACACTTGGTTGTTTCTTAAAAAGTTAAGGATAAATTTACCATATGACCCAGTCATTCCCCTTGTAGGTATCTACTCAAGAGAAATAAAACTATATGTCCAGGGCTTCCCTGGTGGCGCAGTGGTTGAGAGTCTGCCTGCCAATACAGGGGACACGAGTTCGTGCCCCAGTCTGGGAGGATCCCACATGCCGCGGAGTGGCTGGGCCCGTGAGCCATGGCCGCTGAGCCTGCGCGTCCGGAGCCTGTGCTCCGCAACGGGAGAGGCCACAACAGTGAGAGGCCCGCATACTGCAAAAAACCCCACAAAACTATATGTCCAGACAAAGACTTGTGTATGAATGTTCAAAGCAGACTTTTCATAATAGTCAAAAGGTAGAAACAACCCAAATGCCAAGCAATGGGTGAATGGATAAATAAAATGTGGTATATCCATCAATGGACCATAATAAAGGAAGAAATTCAACCATAATAAAGGAAGAAATACTGATATATGCTACAACATGGATAAACCCTGAAAACAGAGTAAGTAAAAGGAGCCAGTTACAAAAGACCACATAGTGTATAATTCCATTTACAGGAGATGTTGAGTATAAGGCAATTCATAGAGGCAAAAATTAGATTGTGTGTGCCCAGGACTAGGGATAGGAAAGAGGAGTGACTACAAATGAGCATAAAGTTACTGTTGGGTGATAGAAATGTTCCAAATTTAGATTGTAGTGAAGTTTGCACAACTCTGTAAATTTGCTAAAAGTCATGGAATTGTATACTTAAATAAATTTATGGTATGTAAATTGTACCTCAATAACACTATTGAAAATAAACACTATAATTGATGACTTTACCTTCTATCTATTTCTGGATCCCAAGCTAAAATTAAATATAAAAAATAACAAAGGGATTATAAATATCATTACATAAAAATATAGAGATTTTATACATCAAAATAAAAATAAAATGCAAAGAATAAACTGATAACATTTACCATACATAAGACAAAAATTAATTTAATTAGTATACAAAGATTTCATACAAATCTTTGAAAAACATAGTGAGATCCCAATATATAAATGGGTAAATGGCACAAATAGACTAGTTCATCCTGCCTTTGAAAAATAACTAGTAAACTTACAAAAAATGTATTCAACCCTAAGAATAACCAGAAAAATGTAAATTTTAAAAACTATAATTTTCACCAGTTAAAATAGAGTTTTTAAAAAATGTAATATTCCATTTTTACTGGAATTACATAATATTGGCCTATGTATGGTGAGAGAAATCTTCTTGTGTCCTGTTGGATTAAATACAAATAAGGACATTCTTTTAGGAAAACAATTTTGTTATTTGCCTCAGAAGACTGAAAAATATCTATAACCTTTGATTAGATAATTCTACTATAATTATATGATGCTAGCTTAAGAAAATAATTTAAGATACAGGAAAAATTTAATGTACAGGTATGTTCAGGTGAATAGTTCTTATAATAATAGATAACAAGAAACAGCCTAACTGTCCAACAATAGGAGAATGTCTAAGTAAACGATTCTGCATTCATACAATGGAATACTATGTACCATTAAAAATATTTATGGAAAATTGATAATAACATGGTAAATACTCAAGTCACCATATTCAGTGGAAGAAAACCCCATCAGTATACAAATGGTTAAGTGAAAAAAAAAATCACATCAGGACACAGTATCATTTCAATCAGTAAAAAAAATGTGTGGAAAGAAGACTGGAAGGAAATATACTAAAGTATTAACTGTCACCATCTCTGGATGGGTGGGACTCCCAAATATGCATTGTGATAATACCTTCATAGTTAGAAAACATAACTCAACTGCTGTTCTTACAAAGGGAATCTTCAACACAAACGACCAAAGGCAGGTTTCCCAGGATACCTCATTTCCTATATTTTGAAGGTCATCATAACCTTATCTATCAAAAATTGGTATTGGATCAACTGACCCGATGATTTGATGTGATACATTAAAATTGAATTCACTGGACAGAATACTGTATTCTCTATTATTCACATGCCTTTTAAACCAACTTACTGATACGTTGGCAGCAGTAAGTTGTTTTGCAAGAAAAAGTTAGCAAGCCGTCTACCCACTGGGGCTGTCCACTATTATTCATGGCCTATTTGTTGCATTTGATGATGGCCCAGCAAAGCAATCTCGGTCTACCATATATCAACAGCAACCATGCAATTAAGTCAATTCATGCCCCAAGTCAGTCAATTCAATGAGACAAATAAGGATTTTTTTTTTTAATGTCAGTTGGCATCACATGAAGCAAAATTGATTGATTGACTGAAATCTCAGTTTTCAACTGATTTGCATAGTATTCTGAGCACTCCAACCTGCAGCCACTTTGCTTAAAATACAGCCTGTTTCTAGCTACACTATCTCACCAGAGCCAATAAACATTTTTTAAAAATCTGCCATAATTATCAAGGTACCAACGTTTCCATTCTGACTGACAAACACCCTAGGTGCAGCTTAAATGAACAGCAGGCACTGAAGGGAGATGGCCTGCAGCCTTACCCCAGAGCAGAAATTCTGAGGAAAAGGTCTTTCGGACCTGACTTCTAAAGAAAAAGCAAAAGGAACAGCTTCTGACAAAAGCTACCCTGCTAAAACCAGCCACAATTCCCACGTCTACTTCCCATTACATATTTACAAGTGGCTATTACAGCCCTCGACGCTGACAACAGTTTCCTTAGACCTGGAGACTGCTGTGCTGTGATTATTGTTTTTGTTCGTTTCTGTCTTCTCTGACTATAGACATTAGGCTAGAAATATCTGTTCCATTAGACCTCAAAAGAAAATAGGGCACGGCCCTAACTCAAGGTGGAGGTAAAGCACTCACCACGGTGCAGGTGAAGGATCCCAGGGTCTGGTCTCAGTGATTTCACTTACAGTAAGATCTTGGGCAAGTCATTCCATTGGATTGCTATGCATGGCATGAAAAATAGTAGGTTTGAAGAGTTCTAGATTCAATGGTACTATAAGCCAAGGCATCTGAAATGCAAAATAAAACAAAGAAATAATTGGTTGAAATGAGTAGCTAAGCTCACAAGAAAGTAAGGGAAATCCTCAGAGGAACATCTCCCCCCCAAAAAAGAAAAATGAAGTGAGAGAAGGAATTCAGAATTTTTAAAAAGTGGTGAAGCCAAAGTTGCCTGGGGATGTTTTCTGATATTCACTCATCAGGAAGACAGAAGGTGAGACCTTGGGCCTTTAAAAGGTATCAAGTCAAAAGACAGACGCTCCCTGTGAACAAAACACATAAGCCCTGCCTTGAAGGAGGTTATACTCTAATAGTGGAAGGCAGAAAATGAACAAACATACAAATCAGACAATGATGAACGCTAGAAGAAAAATAAATAAGGGGAAGGAGGATAACGAGTAACTGAATAGGGGTGAAATTTCATTTAGTTGAGTGAAGAAAGGACCCTGGTAAATGTAACACCTAAGCAAGACCTGAAAGGAGTGAGGGAGTAATCTATGCAGGTATTAAAGGGAAGTGCTTTCTAAGCAGAGGGAATCAAAAATGTAAAAGCCCCTAAGCCAGGCCTGTCTGAGGAAGAGAGAAGTGGCCATCTGCTGCAGAGTGAGCAAAAGAAGAGTGTAGAAGATAGGATCCAAGAGACAGTCGGGGGCCAGATGACAGAACAGCCTGTGGGCCACATGGGGACTTGTACGTTATTCAAAAGAGCTGGAAAGACATTGAAGGGTGAGTTAACATGTAGAAGGCTCATTTGGAGTGCTGTGTGGAGAACAGACCATAGAGAAGCAAGTCTAGAAGCCGGAGCACCAAATAACACAACAGGCCAAGCAAGAGGTGATGGTGGCCTAGACAACTTGGTGCTATGGTCTGAATGTTTGTGTCCCCCCAAAATTCACATGTTGAAATCCTGACCCCCAAAGATGATGGTATTACAAGGTGAGGCCTTTGGGAGGTACTTAGGTCATGAGGGTGGAGCCTTCATGAATGGAATTAGTGTTCTTATCAAAGAGATCCCACGGAGCTCCCCAGCCCCTTTTACCATGTGAGGACACAGCTGAAATGCCAGCTATGAACCCAGAAGAATGCTGGTTCACCAGAAGGCAACCAGGCTGGCACCTTGATCTTGGACTTCAACCCCCAGAACTGCTAGAAACAAAATTCTGTTGTTTATAAGCCACCCAGTTTGTGGAATTTGTTGTAGCAGCCTGAACAGACTAAGACACTGGGTGTAATGGAGATGGCAAAAATGGCCAGACTTCGGAAGGGCCGAAAGGACTTCCATACTGACTGGAAGTGGGTTGCAAGAGAAAGACAGACTCAAACATGACTTCCAGACTTGTGGCCTGATTAACTGGAAGAGTAGAGTCAGCTTTTCTGAGATGGAAAGGGTAGAGGAGGAACAGAGGGGCTGGTAGTGATCACTAGTTTGGGTGTGGACATATTCTGTTTGACATCATATTAGACCTACAATTAGAGATACATAACTTATTGTTATGTCAGTAAGTAGTGACAAAATAGGCGAGTTCCAAAAAAGGTATAACTTTCCAACTAGAAAATCTGACTATTCTTATTAACTTAAAATAAATTGTCAGTGGTTTTGTGTTTCCTCTTCCCACAAGGAAAGCATCAGTAAATTCTAACAAACATCCAAAGATCAGAAATTTTCCGTTTTTATTATACAACCTCTTAAGATGGAGATAGAGAAGGACAGGAAGAGGGAAAGGGAGATGAGGAGGAGGGAGACACGGAGGAAGAAAACTGGAACTTCCCAATGGATTTCATAAAGCTAATGTATCAAAATGAGACAAGAGTCATGCAAGAAAAACTATACAACAATCTCATTCACGAACATAAAGCCAACGATTCTAAATAAAGTATTAGCAAACCAAATCTACCAGTGTATAAAAAGTAAACTACAGGGCTTCCCTGGTGGCGCAGTGGTTGAGAGTCCACCTGCCGATGCAGGGGACGCGGGTTCCTGCCCCGGTCCGGGAAGATCCCACGTGCCACGGAGCGGCTGGGCCCGTGAGCCATGGCCGCTGAGCCTGCGCGTCCGGAGCCTGTGCTCCGCAACGGGAGAGGCCACAACAGTGAGAGGCCCGTGTACCGAAAAAAAAAAAAAAAAAAAAAGTAAAATACATATGACCAAGGTGAGTTTAATACTAGAAAATATTTTAATGTAACATATCTCAAACTAAAGATTTGAATAGGCTTTCACCACAAAGGAATCATAAGTGGTGAGTAAACATGGAAGATGTTCAAACTCATTAGTAAATTGGGGAAATAGCATTTAAACATACGACACTGACAAAGAATTTTTAATCTGACAATACCAAGGGTAAGCAATGACCAACCCGATCGCAAAAAGTAACCAGTTGCAATAAGCAAATAACAAACCCTGGCACCGAGACTGCTACTTTAAATGCCATTTCCCAGAATTCTGGAGAAATGGCTGAGTCCAGGTCTGTGACATAAAATGTATAAAAAGAATCTGGCACTTCCTGTCACAAGCTGGCACTTCCTCCAAGCTGTTGGAGAGTACTACAGATGGGTCAAAAGGACACACAAAGCAACTTAAACAGGCTCCCACTGGCCGAAGATGCGACAATTGAACATCAGTAAGTTTAATAGCTGTAATGGATTGCAATATCAAATATATTTTAAATGTGGTAGATAATAACTTTCAAATTTCACTGGTCATATCTAGAGGACGTGGAGAACCAATGTGTCATTTTGAAAACTAGTAAATAAAAGGAACAAATCAAGCAAACTGAATCTATTTGCAGACTGTATCTTGGGATGTCAAATAGTTGATGAGGAGAATTTCTTTATAGAGGTATCCCAGCAAATAAATGAAGTGGGAGTGATAGAATTTTAATATTTAACACCATAATTAAATAAGGAATCCAGGTAATAATCATTAATGGCTGTTGTTAACGTCATTAAAAAAACCCCAGCTAACTGGATATTATATGTTTCCTGATGGATGGAAGTAGAAACACATCGTCTGACACATTCTTGCCAAAAAATTGAAGCTAAATCTCAACAGTTCTCTAGATCTTGCCACCAATTTACAGGAAATAGAGCGTTCTGTGAAACACGTTGATTGACATGTTGGAATGCAATCAACAAAATCCGGACTGTGGAAACTATACAGAATAAATGACCTGATTTCTTCAACAAAGACACTGTAAAGAACAACATTAGAGACGGAGAGGAGACCTACACGTCAAGAAAGACTTCAGAGTTATGTCAAACAATATAACTCTATTGTAACTGTATTACCATATTGTACTCTATGAGTCTTATTTGAATACTGATTTGAAACAAATAAATAAAGTGATAATTTCTGACACACTCAGAAAAAAAATTTTTTTAATGTGACAATACCAAGGGTAAGCAAGGCTGTGGTATAACAGAGAATCTTGTACACTGCTTATGGGAGTGTAAACTGACACAATCACTTTGGTAAACAACTAGTCATCAAGTAGGGCACTCAAGGCTATATGTGCCCTACAAATCGGCCACCCTACTCCTAGATTTATACCGTGGAGAAACCCTTGCCCATGGGCACCAAGAGACAGTATGGGAGTGTACACAGTGGCAAAGTTTGTATAGTAAGAACCCCCTACCCAAATGTCCAGCAACCACAGCAGCAAAGCTAAAGTGTGGTGTATTCATAAAAAGAGATGTCACGGTTCAGTGAAAAGTGAGTCAACACACTTATCTATATCAACATGGATAAACCTCATATCACATTGCATACTTTAGAAGAATACATACAGAATGATACCATTTACACAAAGCTCGAAAGCTTACAAATGTAAACAATTTATTAAGATTGTAAGTGTGTCTGATGGGCTTAAAAGGCCTGACGTAGGTTGGGTAGATCTATACTTGGTAAAACCATAGGAAAGATAAAAGCAAAATTCAGCCAAGGGTTGACCTCAAGGGCAGAGGGTGTGAGGGACTGGATTAGGGAAGTGATATACAGCATCTTCAAAAGTACCACTCCTCAAACTGGTTGTGGACATATGTGCCTTTGTTATATTATTCTTTATACTACACACATATATATTTAAATTCTTTTATGTATAGACAATATTTCAAATTTTTATAGAGAGGGTGAACCAAATGACTAAAACCCTTCCTATCACTTAAAATTCAAGTCATATGACTTCTCATTTCCCTCACCTTCCTCTTAAGAAAAATAATAGTAACTTTCTCAAAAGATGTGGTGAATAGTAAATGAGTTAATGCACCTAAAGTGCTTGGATTAAAAACATAGGAAAAAAAGAAAGAAAAGATTTAGGACTAGTATGAATATACAAATGCCCCATTACTTGTAAAGAAGGGGTGACTCTAAAATTCATAAACCTGAATAAAGTATGCATGAACCTTCCAGATATGTTCTAAGAGATGATTTGTGTGCACAAGTGCCATACAAATTTAATATACTAATAATATCCTTCAATTATGTCCAATTAAATCTACTCTCTTTATTTTCACACCAAAATAAATAAATAAAGTGCTGGGATTAGAGCCAGACATATATGAAAACACATTAAGTGTTCAATAAATATAACTCCAACTATTCCCGTCATCTTCCTATTTACCACCAACACTGCCAGGAGAGCACATCTTTAATCTTATGACGAAGGCGAGGAATTTTTAAAATCCTGAACAAAGGAAGAAGTGGTGAAAGAATATTTTGGATTGCTGCTTGCAGCAAAGAGAGGGCCAGCCAGGGGACGCCCTCTTCCTCTCTCTGCCACTGGCTGGCCTGACAGAAACCATGGGCTGGGTCCAAAGGCTTTACCCTCTGAAGAGTCATGGATCGTGCTGAGAACGCAGAACCACAGCTGTGCCTCAACAGCCAAGTATTCTCAAGGAACCGGAGAGAGCCACTTCCTGCTGCTTAAAGGTGATGACCTCATTGAAAACTGTCCAACCTGCCCCAGGCCTTTTAAGCCAGTCAGACAGAAACACTTACCACCATGACTGGGCCTTC